TGAAGTGGAGAATCAGCTGGGCAGGAAAATCAAGATGCTTCGATCTGATCGAGGAGGAGAGTACCTAAGTTTTGAGTTTCACGACTATCTAAAAGAATGTGGAATAGTTTCGCAATTGACGCCTCCTAGAACGCCACAATTGAATGGTGTGGCTGAGAGACGTAATCGAACCTTATTAGACATGGTTCGTTCTATGATGAGTCGTGCTTCGTTACCAATCTCATTCTGGGGGTATGCCTTAGAGACTGCCGCCCATATCCTTAACTTAGTTCCCACCAAGAAGGCTGCCAAGACACCTCACGAGATGTGGACAGGGAAAGCTCCCTCGTTAGCACATATCAAGGTTTGGGGTTGTGAAGCTTTCGTAAGACGAGAGACTCACGACAAGCTAGAACCTCGTAGTGAGAAGTGTTATTTCATCGGCTATCCACAGAAGTTTTTTGGCTATCTCTTGTATAGACCAAGTGACAATGTTGTCTTTGTTGCTAGGAGAGGAGTTTTCAGAGAGATAGAACTCATAAGTCAAGGAGACAGTGGGAGTCAGATTGACCTTGAAGAGCTTCAAGAGTCAGGAGATGAAGGAACCTCTGACACTGGCGTTCAACCTGAGGAGGAAACTCCTGTTGAACCAATTGACCAGTAATTACCTCTTAGACGTTCGAGTAGAGTTATTGTTCCACCCCAGTTTTATGGTTTCCATATTACTACTGATGGGGATACGTTTATTAGTGATAGTATACTAGTAAATCTAGACGAACCTAATAGCTACAAGGAAGCCATGGCAGGCCCAGAGTCTGCTAAATGGAAAAAGGCAATGGACAGCGAGATTCAGTCCATGTATGACAACTAAGTTTGGAATTTGGTTGACAATGTACCGGGTCGTAAGACAGTCGGGTGCAAGTGGATGTTCAAGAAGAAGACAGACATAGATGGGAAAGTGCATACTTATAAAGCGCGATTGGTCGCGAAGGGCTTTACTCAAACTCCTGGAGTTGACTTTGATGAGACCTTCTCGCCAGTTGCCAAGATAAAGTCTATTAGGGTAATGCTCGCAATAGCTGCATTTCATGATTTTGAAATCTGGCAGATGGACGTAAAAACCGCTTTCCTAAATGGGAAGTTGGCTGAGGATGTTTACATGAATCAGCCAGAGGGTTTTGTCGATGCGAAGCATCCAAATAGAGTGTGCAAGCTTGAGAAATTCATTTATGGATTAAAGCAGGCATCTCGCAGATGGAATCTTTGTTTTGACGAGAAGGTCAAAGAGTTTGGTTTTCTGCGAAACGAAGATGAGTTATGTATGTATGTCAAGTCCAGTGGGAGTATAGTGAGCTTCCACGTATTGTATGTCGATGACATACTACTCATAGGAAACGACATTCCAACCTTGCAGGAGGTCAAATCCTGGCTTGGGAAGTGTTTCGCTATGAAGGACCTCGGAGAAGCTGCATATATATTGGGAATAAGGATAGTGAGAGACAGAAGTAAGAGACTGATAGGACTCAGTCAGGATACATACTTGGAAAAGGTACTAAAACGTTTTAGTATGGAAAATTCCAAGAAAGGGGAGTTACCAATCCAATGCAATACCAAACTGAGTAAGACTCAGAGCCCAAGTACAGAGGCAGAGATAGCTGATATGAGCCGAGTACCTTACGCTTCCGCAGTTGGCTCAATTATGTACGCTATGACCTGTACTCGCCCTGATGTGGCCTTCGCTTTGAGCATGGTCAGCAGATATCAAAGGAACCCTGGTAGGGCGCATTGGATTGTTGTCAAGAATATTCTTAAGTACCTAAGAAGGACCAAGGAATGGTTTATAGTCCTCGGTGGGAGTGATGACTTAAGGGTGAGAGGGTACAGTGACGCTAGTTTTCAGACGGATCGGGATAATTACCGATCGCAGTCAGGCTGGGTCTTTACCCTGAACGGAGGAGCAGTGACTTGGAAAAGTTCCAAGCAAGAGACAGTGGCTGATTCAACGTGCGAATCAGAGTACATTGCGGCAAGCGAGGCGTCTAAGGAGGCTATATGGTTGAAGAACTTCATTGGAGACCTTGGAGTTGTGCCATCCATAAAGGAGCCCATGGAAATTTTCTGTGATAATGAAGGAGCGGTTGCCTTGACCAAGGAACCAAGAGATCATGGCAGATCTTGACATATCGACATGAAATACCATTTTATTAGACATCGGGTAGAAGAGGGACTCCTCGTTGTGAAGAGGGTATCGTCAGAAGATAACCCAGCAGATCCCCTTACGAAGGGACTGAGTAGGGTTAAGCATTTGAAGCACGCTAGGAGTGTTGGACTAAAGGACGATATTAGTTTAGATTAGATAGATAGGAAATTTGTAATAGATAATTTTGTATTCAACATTTTGATGATTAAATAAAGGTGTGTTATTTATAAGAAAGTCACTATCTTGTGTTGATTATTTATCTGTTATTTCCAATTTTGCATGTTTTGACTTCCTGAATAATAAGATTGTTCGAACAGTCCACAATCGCTCATATTTTGGAAGTAGATATGAAAGAAGATTGTCATAAATTTGTTTGTAGATTGTCTGAAAGGATTTAGACATAGCAAAGGTTTGCTACGAAGTTTATGAGTGATTATGAAATTTGTTTTGAGCATTGGAATAAACCCGCACTTGCTAGTATCACTTCATGAAAGTTATCATAAGTGATCGCAAGATGATAATATCATCTAATCTTTAAACCTAGAGATATGGTTGTTGTTTGCTAGTTGATTATGCATTGATAATGCGAAAACGCATCAGTAACTTGATGTTATAAAACGCATTATTGTGTGTGACTTAGCTAGTAAATGATAAAAGCATATAAGTCGATGTTTTCCTGTACCTTTTATTCTAAGAAAATAAAAGCGATATCTTGGCCACTCGATGATTTAGTTTGACTTATGTGTCAGGCCCAATGAAGTTGATGTGTTCAACTAAATTCTATGTCGAATAAATCAGAGATCGAGAAACAAAATGCTGGATAATAAGTATTGTCACCAAGTGGGAGACTGTTGGATTAGTGTCTAAGCCCGTAACTATATTTGGTATGTACTTGACCCGGTTATGCATGGTCCTTTTGGGTTGCCTTCACCAAAGCAACTTGACAAGGTAATTTGATATGAGAGAGAGGATATTATGGTTTATTAATATATTATAAGAATAATATATTAAAGGAGAAATCATATTTATTTAATTAGTATTAGTCATAAATTAATTAGGAATTAATTTGGTGACTAAAAGAGATTAATTAAATAAAGGGGCATAAACTGTCAAATGTGTGATAGTTGAGTTTTGGGCTGGGAAACCTAATGGACTAAGGGGAAACGAAATTATGATGAAGGATCATCATATTTTCGTCCAAGGGCCTTATTCCAGAAGGTTCCTTGGGCTACTTGGTGGCTAAGGTATCCATTAGGGTTTAGACTGAAACCCTAGCAGCTTGCACTATAAATAAGACCCCAAGGCTCCAATTTTCGGCCACTTGCTTCCAAGAGAAACCCTAGGGCCGAAAATTAGCATCCTCCCTCCTCCCTCAAAGTTGCCTTCTTGCTTGAGGTGTTTGTGATCCATTAGAGGAGTTACAATTGTGACTCAAAGCTCAAGAGAAGAAGAAAAGAAGATCTAAGCCAATCTTTGAAGAGGTAAACATCTAGATCTGATGTATTAAGTTAATTTTCGAATTATGTATGCCAGATTAGGGTTTGCAAGTCTTGGATTCAATGCATGTACAATAGAGAAACCTAGATCCAAGCATTAGGTTTTGTATGAGCACATAGGATTGTTCTTATGCATAAAACCCATCAGACCCTACTCGCCGAGTCAGCCTAATGACTCGCCGAGTTCATAACCTCCAGAAACCATACAACTCGCGACTCGACTCGCCGAGTCACCCCATGACTCGTCGAGTGCTTCAATCTCCGAGTCCTAGTCCTAACTAACCCACTGAGTCACCACTCACTCACTAATCTGACTCATAACCAGAAGAGATTACTGTTTGCCATTTAACCTCTCTGGTTCAACAAGTTTTCCATAAACCAAGAGGTAGTTTTTTCTGATTTAATTGGCAATTGCAGCCAACTTTTTAAAATTTATAAATCGGTAACCTGATTGGTTTCTAGTTGAATTGTCCAGTTTGGTTTTTAAGGTATATGGCCCCATCCACCATAAATATGGTTGATTATTTTATTTTTATCGGTTTTATTTTTAACTAGATAATCATATGGTTTTATGTTCTAGATTTACTAGTAAAACTTATAAGTGAATTGATACCGATTAATTATATGGTTTTACGTTCTATATTTACTAGTGAAAATTATAAATGAGTTGATGCCGATTAATTAACCTATTGATGATATATGTAAACCTGGGTTAGTCGGTTAATTAGTTGTGGACTTGGGGTTAATGGTGGGATGGTGATAATAAATAAAAGTTAAGGAATAAACTTTGTAGACGTGTTCACACGACACTTTCCAACCAAAGACTTTAAGTAATAGGGCATAAATTAATTGGAGTTCTGGATTAAGTGGAATATATTTATAAAGTTTTAAACAAGTGTTGTACCCAACCCACATGCAAATATACTAATCTAGGATTGAACAAAAGATTCTCATCCCTCCCCAAATATTATAAAATTATCAAATGAGAACATAAACAACGGGAGCTTATTATTATATATATATTAAAGTTGTGAAAAGTTGTAACAGTAAACCTGAGACATTTTGGCCAATTTTGGTCCCTTAAATTACATTTCCGGTCCCTCTATTTTTGTTTGTGTGTCACTTTGTTAATTTATATATTCCTGGGGTTACCACACTGGTTACGACTTTACTTCCCGATCCTCCCACCCTGATCCTTCCACAATCTTCCTTTTATCCTCTTCCAGATTCCACCGTCTCCCAACCCTCTTCGTCTCCACCGTCTCCCAACCCTCTTCGTCTCCACCGTTTCTCCCTTCTTCTTCACCACCGACTCCAATATTCCGATGACGGAAGGAGTCGCCAGAGGTGGAGAAAGGATGGGGCTACTACGTGTCGTTCTCACGTCTCCTCCCACCGGTTCTGGCTTATCTTCCCCCCACCGACTTTCTCATCCGGCCATATTCGGATTTCACCACTTTTCGAAAACTCTGCATCTCCCTCTAAACTCATCGGCTTGAAATTTCTGTTGATCGTTGCTTTTGTTTTTCTTCTCCAATCTACAGACGGTACGAAGCAGATGAGGCAACTGATTCCAACAGACACGATGCAGATGAGACAACTATTCCAACATACCTAGCAAGATTTCAAAGAAAGAAAGTTAGGGTTTCTTGCTTTCTTGCCCAATTCTATTTCAATATCCACGTAGCTTACAGATGAGAGACTGGAGGAAGCACACATTCAAGGATTTCAAATCAGGTACAACCTTTGCTGCTTGCCTCCTGTATCTTCTATTTTCCTTTCATTTTTTTCTTGCCTCTGTCGGGAAAGGGACCCGATTTCTTCTTTGATAGATAAAGGAGATCGCGATAACAGAAACGCCTACTTACCAGTGAGAGAGAAGAAAATTGACGAGCGAGATACACGTATCTCCGAGACCAAAGCCGACGGAGGAGGAGCCTAAAGTCGAGGAGAGAGAAGCTCCAAAACTAGAAGAGAAGAAAGAAGAGGTTAGTTAATTAATTACAGTTTTGCCACTGTTAATGATCTAAACTATTTAAAATCATTCCAATTCCTCATGTGATTTGTGATGTTCAACTGCAGCCTCCCCATGTGCTGCTTCCAAACTCCAAAGCTAATTGCTTCCAAAATGAATCTGATTTGTTGTGTTGTTTCTCTGTTCTTTCTTTTAAAATTGTGGATTTTTCACTGGCTTTTTTAGGGCATAAAGGACCTATGTCCTTTGACATTTAGGCATATTGATGATTGATTTAGTTCTTGATTTGCCACAAATTTATAGGTGCAAGGTGTGTTATTGCTTTTGGGTGGTTATGAAGTACCAACGGGTGCCCCTACCTTGGGGATGCCCCCTCAAAATCAAAGGGTATGAGTACAGCAAATTGTTCATACAAGTCTGGACTTCTGATTCATTTTATCTGAGTTATTTATTTATTTTTTTGGTATGAATGTAATAGGGTTTAAACGAGTTCCCTGGAAGATCAAGTCAACCACAAAGGGCTGCTTCTTTGAGTCGATTCAGGGAGAAGAGAAAAGAAAGATGCTTTGATAAGAAAATCCGTTACACTGTACGGAAGGAAGTTGCTCTTAGGTAATTATATATACTAAAGTTTGACGTAGAAGCTATTATATGCTTATAAGTTGATGTGGATATATTATATCTGATTCACATTTTATACTCCCAGAATACAACGTAAAAAAAGGGCAGTTTACGTCATCCAAGGCCAATTCTGATGAAACAAGCTTAGCTTCTTCAGACTGGAATGGTCGTCCTGGCCAAGATGAAGAAACAATGTAAGCAGCCTTTTTTTCATAATGATTTTTCTTTTCTCTTTTTTTTTAATTATTTTATTTTATTTTGTAGCTTCAATAAGACAATAGTCCATTTGTTTCATGGGACTTAACAGCTTTTTTATGATGAGGATGAAGAGGGACAGAAATTTGCAGTTTTTGTCCTATTTTGTTCTGTAAACAGTAATTTGGTAGTTTGTATTACTTTTTATAGATGTAGGCACTGTGGGATCAGTTCAAATTCAACCCCAATGATGCGTTGTGGGCCTTCTAGGCCAAGGACATTGTGCAATGCATGTGGATTGAAATGGGCTAACAAGGTTTGTCAATTAGTTTTGATGTTGAAATTCTTAACTGATTTATTGAGTTGAGTTGTAATGTGCACAGGGGGTTTTATGGGATCTTAACAAGGTTTTAGCATACCCTACTACTGGAAAGACTATTATTGAGCAGGTGCAGGTGGGGTACACAATTATTTTTCATATGTAATTAATAATAATAATAATAATGGCATTTGGCATTTGTGTTAATGTGTTGTTGGTTTATTTGCAGAGTGGGGGTGGGGAAGGGAATGGAAGTGAAGGTGGGGGAGGAGTTCCTTTCCTTGTCTTATTCACTTATTTGTTGCTGCAGCCAAAGCTAATGGAGATATATATTTATGTTGAAGGAAAAAAGGTGTAAAATAAGAGAGTAGTTACTGTTTACAAAGATTGTAGATATCTCAGGTATATATGTTAATAAGAATCTTAGATTGGACAGCATACAAGTTTATGGATTTGACTATGATTATACCCTGACACATTTTAATGTTTCATTTTCAGCTTAGAGGTATTTCATGGAATCATGGCGTTACATGTTGGAGGTGAACTCTGAAACATTTTGTACAATTTGTACAATTTTGTTATTTATCTGATCTTTTTATCGTAAATGTTATTTATTTTTTTATTGTTTAGGATTCATTGGGTTGTGGAGATTCATCGAGGGAGCTTTTTGAAGTTGTGATTGCTAAAGCAAATAAGCTTGATTTCTACACATCTGAGCATCCTTTCCGGTATGGAGATTCATTGAGGGAGCTTTTTTAATTGTTTAGGATTCAGAACAATTTCTTTTGTTATAGGGATGCATCTGTTAAAGATCACACAATTTTTTTTGAGTCTTTTGGTATAGCTGGACTTAGGAACCACAGTTTACTTTTCTCAAAAACTGCTTCAGTCCCTGTTGTGCAAGATGAAGAACTAACAAGGTGATATATCTATCCTTTTTACCCTTCAAGGGCATTTTAGCAAATTCACATTTTTGAATTTATGTTTAAGTTCTCTTAATTGTTTTTAGGTTTAGGCAATCAACTTATGTGGACCATAAAGAAACAGTTAATCAAATAACATTTACATAATATAAGCAGTAAAAAAAAATTGTTGCATCCGACCCCGCAACGCGGGGTTCCCCACCTAGTTTTTCTATTAAAACTCAATAACGCTTACATCGATTAAATCCAAATCGAACTCGAACTTGAATTTTTTTTTATAATGGTTCGATTCGTTTTCAGCTGTATTAACTAAAATGGGCAATTAACCTCGTTTTTGCTGCTCTTGTATCTTATTTACATATCAACCTATTCCAATAGTAAGAAAAAAAATTGTTAACATAACAGCAAAAAAATCTATTTGTTTTTTATATTTAAATGAAAATTATTTTCCAAAAATAATATATATATATATATATATATATATATATATATATATATATATATATATAGCTAGGTTCAAGTATTCTAACTAATTATTGTGCGGATATGTGGACAATGTTATTCTATGAGAATTACTAAGAGAATAAGTTGTTTAGCAATGCGAATACGTTCAACCTTACAAAAATATCGTCATTTTCATTCATTCTCGCTAATTATTTTTTATTTTTGTTCTCACACATCGTTTTTCACTCATTTTCATTCAGACAGAATACGACTCAATAAATATTCTGACAACATTCTGACAGAAACGAAAACAATAATAATAAGTTTTAATAACGTTATAGAAAATTTAGGTAGTGAGAATGTGTGTTAATGACAATAGTTATGTAAGATTGAACGTATTTATATTATCAAACAACATATTTTCTTTATCATTCTCAAATAATAGCATTGTCAATATGTCCGCACAATAATTAGTTATAATAAAATAACCAAAGCGTATATATATATATATATATATATATATATATATATATATATATATATATATATATATATATATATATATATATATATATATATATATATATATATATAGGTTCCGGTTCATTTGAGACCATGCTAATTTTGTGAGACCGTGAGACCAAATCTAAAAATTATTTTAAAATGCAAAACAAAAGGAAAAATCCGAAATTTTTTTTTAATTATTATTTTCGTCACTTTAATTACCTAAAAAAAGTAAAAATAAAAAAAATAACCGTTTTTTTGAAAAATACGTGAAATATTTTAATAGAATATTACACTGTAATTTTCTAATGTGATTTTTCGAATGTTAGAATATTCTACTAGATTTGTCAGATATGTAAAATATTTTAATATTCTACTAGAATTTGTAAAAAAAATGTATTTCTTTTTTATTTTTTATATTTTTTTTGGTATTTTTAAAATTTTTGTTTTGGAAAATATAAATGACAAAAATAATATTTGAAAAAAAAATACGAAAATTTTCAATTATTTTGCATTTTAAAAATGTTTTTTTATCTACAAAAGAGTGGCAATAATTGCGTCTCACGGTCTCACAAAATTAGGCCGTCTCAAATGAACCTAACTATATATATATATATATATATATATATATATATATATATATATATATATATATATATATAGAGAGAGAGAGAGAGAGAGAGAGAGATGTAAGATTTCATTTGAGACGGACATAATTTTGTGAGACCGTGAGACCAATTTTATCTAATGAAATATTCTAATATTCTAGTCATCGTAAAAATATAATATGTATAATATTCTAACATTACATGCTTTTAGAATATTTCAATGTAAAATGTGTTAAAAATATTGTTTTAGAATATCAGAATATTACATATATTATATTTTTTAAAATAACAGAATATTAGAATATTTTACTAGAAAAAACTGGTGTCACGGTCTCACAAAATTAAACTAATCTCAAATGAACCTAACATATATATATATATATATATATATATATATATATATATATATATATATATATATATATATATATATATCTTTACTATCTTATAAAAGAAATCTAACTATTTCCAAAAATAGATTCAATATAATAATAATATTTTTTTTAAACGTTCAAGTCTCTAAGCTTAAAATACAACAAATCTCCAATATAATAATATTATTTTTAAATCGTGCATTTGTACTAGCTAAACTCTAATCTCTTAAACAAATATTCTGTAGATTGAATCGGTCACATTGAACCAGTATTCCCTCACTTTCAGCATATTCAAATAAAAAATATATTAGATTCATTGATGATGTAGCTTAAACCCCGTTTTCTCCCAGACGACACCTCCAAACTCAAGTTTAATTCTTCTCTTTTCTTCATCCACTTTTGCTCTTGGCCTCCGAGCACCACACACATACACACGTATAAAAATCCTTCAGTGTCGTGGCTTCCGACGAAAACAACCAACACAATTTCTATTCTGATTCAGTAAATTAATCGATTCTTTGTGTGTTTATTATAAAATAGGAGAGATTTGGGTATTCCGAATGAAAACCCTAAACCTAGGACTTTGCCGATTCGTAGGTATTTGCTCTGTTTCTGAGATTGTTTTCCTTTCTTGCTCTCAATGTTTGTCTTCAAATTTCAGAATTGATTGATGAGCTCACATGAATTTAATTGATGGATGAGCGCTTCTAGGTTCATAAAGTGCATCACTATCGGCGATAGGGCTGTTGGAAAGACATGTCTCTTAAATTCTTACACCAGCAATTCTTTTCATACGGTGATTATTTCATTTAAATTCTTCACAATTTCTCTTCTTATTCATTTTTACGAAAGACATTTCATTCGATTTTCCTGTTTATCCCTAATCTCAACCTATATTATTCATTTCTTCACAATTTCCTTTTTTCCCATCGTCGAACTTGGTTTATACGCTTTTCAGTTCATTTCTGCATAATTTCTTGTGGAGATGGGAGGTAGAATCGGTATAATGATCATATTCTTAATGGAGTTTTGCTTATAAAGAAGATTGAAATATATCTATTTGTTTCCATTGTGTTCCAAATATGATTATCTGCCAATTGTATTTGATAATTTCAGTGCCAATGCCGTTGTTAATGGCAGTACTGTCAATCTAGGCTTGTGGGACACTGTTGGTAACCTTCTGAAACACCATTAATCATTTCTATGCTCTTGAACTTCAAGGGTAATATAGACATTTCATTGAACAGGATAGGAAGATTATAACAAATTAATATCATTGAGTTATCGTGGTGTTGATCTCTTCATTCTTGCATTTTATCTCATTAGCAAAGCTAGCTATGAAAACATCTCCAAGAAGGTGAAATCTCTCATGGTCAATTTTACCATTTCACCCTTAAAATACTTTACATTATCTACTGACTGAATATATATATTTTTATTCTACTCTCAGTGGATTTCATAATTAAAACATTATGCCCCTGAAGTCCCAATTGTCCTTGTTGGGACCAAAATTGGTTAGTTGTTTCATGATGATTCAGAATTTGATAATTTGTAGAAGCTAAATTTCATTATGTATTTGTTATATAATGTTATAAATTGGTTAGTTATAAATGACCAAGATACCCTTACATGTTGGTGGAGCAAATATCAAGAGGTGAAAAACCTGAAAGATCAAGGTATACATCTAACCCTGTTATCAGAATCATTTTTTTTATGTATTTTTTAGTTTATTGTAGTATAACTCATTGTAAGATGATTTGCCATTGTTTTTACTGTAATGTTTTGATTGACCGTTATGGTGGGCCAAAAAATTGATCGATGGATTTTTTTCATATCTAAAAGTGAATTATATTACAGTGATTATGGTTCGGGGTATTTAAGCCTATCTGTCAAAGAATTTTGTTAACTCTATATAAACAAAAATAAACTAAATTGTTCTGCATTACATGATTGTTTGGTATTCTATTTTTTTGCAAAAAGATAGCCTTTATTTAATTTTATTTTTGTTTGTGCAATGTTGTATTAGGTGGAAATTAAAGCAGGTTGAAATACAAGCTTCACCTTGAAATTAAAAGCTTGAACTCACAATCAAAACATTGTTTATAAATTTTGGTGACATTCGACGCCAAACGATTTGCATAATTTGCACAAGTCAGATATTTAACATATAAAATAATAAAAAAGTAAAATAAAAAGCTTATGAATTTAATAAATAAATAAAAATATATGTTATATTATTTAATAACCATATTATATCTATATGTTTACCTTTAACAATGTGATAAAATAATTTCAATAAAAATTTCAAATAGAAACAGACTTAATATATTAAGTCAACTATTATTTTGTCGTCTTGCATTTCATGTTATTTGGGAGATGCATTGTTTCCAAATAAAAAGTAATTGTTGAAACAAATACACTCGCCAAAAAAGCTATTATAGGAAAGGAAACAATTCGTTGCGCAAAACCGATTTGAAACATAACATGTTTCCGAGAACTAATCAACAAAAGAAACTAATTGCCGAATGAAGCTATTTCTCGCCGCAGCTTTGCGCGGGTATACAGCTAGTATATATATATATATATATATATATATATATATATATATATATATATATATATATATATATATATGGAAATGATCAAATAAGAACATCTAAAAGGTTGAGAACGCGAAAACAGTTCTGCACCAATCAATATATGAGGGTATATTAGTAATTATATATTTACTTAAAATTAAAATTAAATTAAATTCAATCAAATTCCCTTAAATTTAGGATCGGTTACCAAATTCGATTTTTTTTTCTTAATGGAATAT